AACTGCTTTATTCCAGTGATGATTTGAGGGACTATAGATGTTTAGAAAAACTTGTAATTTCTTCCGTATATGAATTGCACCTCTTCGTGCTTCTTGAATATATACTTTTTTCTTTTCAAAAGAAAAGATCTATGGTGAAACCCAATAAAAGAGCAAAGATATCAAAAACATGTTTCACATTCTCCAAGCCTCATCACAATGAATAGATTGTCGTGAGTCTCACATCTCTATTACATATCACAAAGTCCCGGGTAACAAGGTCCCAAATTCAAAGGATATTGTTAGTATAAAGCCTATCAAAATCACAGACCAAACAAAAACCTTTAACTTGTAGGTAGCTGGAACCTTCCATACGGATTTTCTACAGGGAAAATTCTGACTAACAGAACACCAATCTCTCTTTTATATTCTCCTAATTGTTCCACTATTTCCCCAAAAAGAAATGCATTACCAAGGAAACTTTTTTTAAAATAAAAATAATAGTATTAATTCACAAGCACCAATTGGGTGCCACTCATGTACGAAATTATTTACAAACCAGTAAGCATGTCTATAACATTCCTAAAATCCTCTATGGTATGAATAGGGTACCCAAAAAACACGGATCTCAAATACCTTTTTTCTAAATAAACATGGATCTCAAATACTATAACCATATCTCCTTTTCCACCCTCTCAAAAGTTCTATTATCTCTCTCTTTCCGTATCATCCTAAACAAAGCAGAATGAGACCCACAACTTCCTCCCCTTACTAATTCTCCCCCATGCCCAAATCTTATCTCTAACTGAACCAGCAATAACCCAGTTAATCCCCAGTAATTCATAAACCATAGTCAATAACTTGTACACAGAAGGCTACCATAATATAATATGATTGCAGGATTTCCACTTCTCTCTTACAAAGATAGCATCCATTCACCATAGATTTTTCCCTCCTTATCATTATGTCAATAGTCATATATTGTCTATTTATTTTGTCTATTAATTGACCCTACTCACTTTCCTAAAAAAGTTTTATTCCATTAATGTTTTAAAAAGAGAAGGAACAAACCGTCTTCTTTTTCTATGAATCAATGTCCAAAAAGCATCAAAGTCTCCTGGTTTTTAAATATATTTTAGAGCTCGGTCGGGATCCAAATCTTGGGGATCTAGATTGTGTCCTCAGCAAACTAGAGTCCCAAAAGAACTATCCTTATTACTGTGTTTTATTAGGTAATTTACTTTGATAAAATTATTTGAAACTATTGACATCAGAACTTAAAACACATACATACAGACATACTGTTAGAACACATACATACTGACACGGACTATATTTAGTGCCTATTTGATTTAGCTTCGGCTTATGCCTTAAGAGTAAGCTGAAGCAAAAACATGTATAAAATATGAACTTCTGAAAAAAAAAATTCATTTAATGTCTGGTAAACACCTATTCCTCAAAGTGTTACTGATACAAATTTAGAAAGAAATCATTTTTTTTATTTGCAGGGCAAAGTAAAATTAAGAAAACCTGTCAGCTAAAGCACCCATTCATTTAAAATTTTAAAGTTTTAAGTTTTTTCTTCATATTAGGTTGAAATTTTGGAGTAACATCCTAAAGCCACTATAAATGTGACAACAAAAACCTAGACCAACTAGGCACTTGAAGTTCCCTCGTCTTAAAGGTTGTTTGATTGGGGTGTCAGTTAAGCTGGTTAGACCCTTAAAAAACAATCTATTTTAGCCGATTTATTTTGCAAATCTATGGCTTATAATAAGAAGAAAAAAAACTAAAACAACTACCTATTTTGACTTTAAGCCATGTAATAAAAGCTACTTCATCTTTTTACCAAATATTCCTATAAAAGATCAATAAATTTTCCTTCGCGCGTCCTTTTTAACAATCACCATTAACTTATAGGCACTCTTTAACAAATACTTATTATATGTGTAAAGTTTATAAATGGAACAAAAATAAACTATTCAAAGATACTTTTCACTTAAAAGAAATTTATAAGCTTAACCTTATAACCACCCATTTATAGCTTGAAAAATAAAGTAAATGATTTTTTGGTCATTTTCCCATAGAGGAATATCCATGTTGAGAAAGTAACAGTGCTTCCTAGCAGCCGCACACATAGCAAACGCTCCAAAGATAAATCTAACAACTTGGTAAACAAGCAACTGTACTTGCATTTTAACATGTTTACATGTTAAACTCCTTAAAGTTAGTTCCCGAGATAAGATGTTTCTAAAGGTAACAAAAGTAATACAGCATTGAGTATACCATACAATCCGAGACAGAAACCGAAAAAAGAATGTAGCAAAAACTGCATAAACCACAATGTTAGAAAAGGGAATGACCTGAAAGACAAGGAAATTGCGAGCCTTAACGAGGATGCCAAGAGAGCGGAGCCTGCCATTGTACTCGTCCCAGTTGACAACCTTGCCATCAAGCCGGTATTCACTCGCGCCAGAGCTAGTGATAGTGCGGGTAAAATGGAGCTCCGACCCGTTTCCCAATTGATAGACGAGTCGCACGAAGGCCCTGCGGCCCTTTTGCTCCTTCTCGCGGTCGTCATAGGCGTAGATGAGGTCCTTCAGCTGCGCCCCACGGAGCTGCCCCGTTCGCACTCCGAGTACGAAACTTATGGCGTCCATCAGGTTCGACTTACCCGCCCCGTTAGGTCCGATTATCGCCGTGAAGTCAGAGAACGGCCCGATTGTCTGCAGCCCCTTATACGACTTGAAATTCTCCATTTCTAATCGCATGATTTTGCCCGAAGGCCCGATTAGAGACGGCATGATTTAGGGTTTCTCCGGACCTTCTCGCTGTGTATAAGGTAAGCTGGAGCCAAATTTTGCAAAATTAGGGTTTTCAGATACGCGGAAGGCGGAGATACTCGGGAAAATGACAGAATTTTCCAGCTAACTGCAAGGCTTTTCCGGGGATATACGGTAGATTTGGGGATTTCTGAAGAGTAGTATGGGAATTTGGCGGGAAAAGATGTTTTCTGTCGAGAGGAAAAATGGAAGAGATGGGGGGGAAGTCAAGACTGTGAGTTCAGTATTTCGAACTCAAGCTGTGAGTTGAATAAAAATGAAAGAGTATTGCGGACGCTCTCCTGTTTTGGGCTGGCCTCTGGTCCAACTACGAACTGATTTTATTCATAATATTTTTATTCATTA